TAATTTTGTTTCCCGTTTTTATATTTGTTGCTGTTGTTGGCTTTTCTCTCGCCTTTTCGTTTTCTTCTTTCTTCTTTCTTCTTTGTTTTAATTTTAAAAAAGAAAAAAACAAACATGATGCTTATCAATATCACATCTGATATGGGCCTAGAAGAGGTTCTTTTTTTGTTTGTTGACCCCCCCCCCAACCCACCTTGGTATTTGATTTTCGTCTATTTTTGGGAAGGGGTGGGGTGGGTTCAGCACGAACAACCTAACCATCACACCCCCAAATTCGATTGAACACCCCTTCATATAGATCTAACGATATCATCCTCACAGGGTTTTGGATTTGAGTAAAGAAAAGCACATCACCACCACAACGGTATCGGGCAATTAATTAATGTAGCCCAGGAAAAAAAAGGGGAATCAACTTACACTTCAAAGCATTATAGCTGTCTGTGATTGTCTTGACAGGTGCTTCACAGATTGCTTTTTTCGCATCACATGTTCCGAGGTACGTCTTTAGCTTGCTGAAAATAAGAGACGTTCAAAGAAATAATAATAATAGATAGCATTTGTGTAGCGCAAATTCCCGATTGTGGGTGGTTGGCGGGTGCTCTGATGTGGTTTGCTCCTTCATTCCTATCAAACATCTATCGTCTTTATCTCCCCTCCTTCTTTTTGTGTTTGTTACTCTCTTGTGACACCTCTAATCTTCGGCACTTATATGACCTTATTGTGTTGCAAGTGCCGTAAAACAATTACTTAAAATAAAAGTCCCGATTATGCAAATTCAATACCGTTATATGCCAGTTGTAGGACACACTTGAAGACCTCAAGGGGAAACTAGCATTTAGCTTAGTTTAGACTATGGCAGTTTTACGTCGCTTGCAACACAAATAGGTTATATCAGTGCCCAAGATTAGAGGTGCTAGTGGAGAGTAACATACCACGAAAAGGAGCAGGAGAGATAAGGACACAAAAGTCTTTGAAGGGAAGGAAGGAGCGAACCACAACAGAGCACACACCAACCACCTATAAAACCGGCATTTCCCCCAGAAAATAGAATATCTTTCCCAAGGACACAACGTCGGACCGAGCTGAGGCTCGAACCCCCGAACCCACAATCTCACGATTCCGAGTCCGGTAACCTAACAACTAGGCCACAGAGGCCACTTAAATTGTTTTGATAGGGAGTGTGACATACCACATTTAAAAAGGGTATGATCCAACCAGCGATTTATGTCCAATTATTAAATTATAGGCATAATATTCCATCTAGCATAAGGCTGTTGTCAGAATGAGCATAGATGTGTATTGATCTTAGAGTATGTATCTATATATAACTCCAAAGGTCTAGTATTTAAATTCCTGCATGTGGTTGAATGATGCATTCGGTGTATATGTACATTTTGTCAGCTTTGCTTCTCTTTTCATATTGAATTTTAAGGAGAGTAATATATATAATTAACATAAAAAAAAATGTATACCTGCATGTGTTTTTACGGTCCTGTACAGCCAAGGAAAATTTCCCTCTGGGATAATAAAGCACTATTTTATCTTATCTTATATTATCTTTTTATAATGGCTTACTTGCATCCCTCCTTCTTGGTTGAGAATGAGCTTGTTGGTGTTGCACCAGTGCAACAAGTCGAGGGAGCCGCAGTTATGGCAGCAATGACGGCCTCTATCTTCAGATTATCTTCCGGTGTTACTGGAGACAAAAAAAAGTTGGTCAGTAAGCGTGCGATAACATTTGAAATGAAATCATTATTACCCCTATCTACCAAATTTTATCGTTTAATGCCCAGCGCCCATTGTGCAAAGTTTCGTCAAGTCCACATTTGTTTTGTTTTGTTTTGGAATAGTGCAACGTTTGACTTTCTTAGTCTGAATCGTCAGATTGTGATGAGCACAACGGCAAAAGTCAATAAGAAGCAGCGGTATTAGTTCTCGTTTACTTTTCCCCTTGCACAATTTAATCAAAATGACGCGACCTGATTAGTTTTTGTTTAGTTTTAATAAGTGCTTTACGACGCTTGTAAGAACATTAAATAATTATAAATGCCAAAGATTAGAAGTGTTACAAAAAAGTAACAAACACACTAAAAAGGAGAGATAAGGATGATAAGTGGTTTATAGGAATGAAGGAGCAAACCACACCAGCAGAGCACCCGCCAACATCCTACATCTAATTTTTTTGAACGTTGTACATGTGGTGTATTAGCTATAGTCAACATAAGGTTATGGGGGTAGGTAAGATGTCGCACCTAGCCCTCTCGTATAAGGTCAAAATCATGGATGTGGCTGAAAGACAGCAGTAAGAAGGAGCCAAAGAGTAGAAAGGCTGGTGAAACAGTCAGGAGCCCAAAGGAGGGAGCGAAACGGAGTGT